ACGTACTAATGGAAATCGAAATTCAAATACTCGTTGATGTGGGTTTGAAATTGACCAAGATATGATTTTTTGTTTCAATTATTGATTTTTTAAATTTTATCACATAAATTTAAGATCTGTAGAAGCTGAAAAACATCTTGATGATTTATTAGACATAACAAGCACAAGTGACATCAAAGGCCTTTTTTGACCAAAAACGTTACATAAGCCTTTTTTAACCCTGAAAACCTTTCCCAGGAACAAATTCATAAAAGAACAGTTATTTAGCAGAACAGACCCCGTCAGCTTCTCCTGAAAGCTTTTGTCTTTACACTTAGGTCCAGATGAGTAAGCCACCTCTTGCATCTGGGTCCGTCTTTAGTGAATTTTGCGTTGCTGTTGGCTCGTCTTGCTTGTGCTTGTTTTATAACTAAGGTTAATAGTTGGGTCCGACTTTTAACATATTCATGTTTTCAATGTGTCTAAATAAAATAAGAGGAATCCATAAGACCTGGGTCATAGGTTTGTCCCACAGACGCACTGAGTCCAGGAGTCATCAATTTATATTTTGACCAAATTGCGATAGACTTGATGCGGATTCATGGGTCAAGATATGTGGAATCTAACTATGAGATGTAATACTGTAGTAATTATAACACGATGGTCAGAAGTGGCGATTTTTCTCCCACTAGTCGGTATATAGGTCCTCACAGAAATTCGCCGAATGAAATGTAACGAAACTTGGCATGAAGATAGTTTCAAGGTAGACACGTTTTATTGGCACTACTATTTTGAGTTTGATTGACAAGATGACGTCATAATCGATGTCCAAATATTGAAATAAATTTAAGAATTTTGATTTTGGTTTCAAAAATCATCTGGTTGTCTTCTTCAATGTAAACGATGCACTTTGGTAAAAATTTTATCCAAATGGTTCAAAAGTTATTGATAATCAAAGAAATCTGAATTTCCCGCCAAATGTATGAAATTGCCTATATATGGTCAAAATTAACGCGGTTTACACGCCCACCAAAACAAGAATTCACTAACAAAACTAAATTCGTTCGACATTTGCCTATATGAGACATGATACCAGATGACAAGGTAGGTGGCAACTTTCAAATCGGCTTTTCCATTACCTTAAGTTTGAAATTGTCTCAATTGGGAAAGAGAATTCTCTCTGCAATTGCCATTAGATCAAACAAGGTGCATATAATTTTTCTTTGTAATACTCTTTAGTGCTAAAAGATGGTCTGATGAAAGGTATAATTCTGAACTCAGAAAATGAAAAGATCGAGTTTTTAATAGAACAATGCAACGCAAAAGCTAGCTAAGAGAAAAAAAGCTTAGTCTTGATCCATGACACTAGACTAGCAGTTATTCTGGGATCATCGAAACGCGATTGGCTCTGATGTTTGAAGCGAGAACCAGAGTTTTAAAAAGCTTCCGATCAACATACAATCATAGTAGTCAAAACAACTTAAGTTTTAAAAGCCATTCCTAAATGATTAAATGTTTGTGAGGCAAAACACAGGAAGAATAATTCAGTTTTTCGTGAAAAGCGCCATTTTGATTTAATAAGCTCTTCTCGAATTAAATAAGCTAGTGAGCGGCAACCTCAGCCAAAGTACACTAAAGGCCAAAAGCCGAGTCAGATCAGCTAGCGCAAGACTACCTCGAAAATGTTGAACGATCTCTTCAACTCTAAATCAACATAAGGTGTCAAATGCATTGTATATTGCCATAAACTTTTATAAACATATTGGAAGGACTGAAAATACTGCATGTCTTCGCTCTAACTTCTATTACAGGATGATAACCAATGAAATTGATGTCGAACCCTTCCAAATACGATTTGGAGAGCACTGTATTTATTGCTGCATTACCCTTCTAATTCAGGATTATGCTGATGTAAGTTTGTGGTAAAAATTATCACGCTGAGACGGTGAGAACAGTGATGTCCTTTATCTGAACCTATTCATGCGATAAGTGAGGGACATGTGCAGAGTTGGGGTGATTTAAAATTGCAAGTCTCCATTTTCTGCTTACCTTTATAGGAATACCTTGCAGACTTCTCAAAAGCTAAAAATTCTTTTACTCCCTAAAGACTGGAGATGAATGAAAGATTTTAGCTTTGGTGAAAGTCTGTTTCCTGCAAGGAATCTCAACGATTGCTGAGTTTTCTCTCTCCATCCTTGATATTGGCATAGTAAAATTAATAGAGTGCGATTTTGATGAAACCTGGTTTTACGCCCACCTCCCTTCTTGGTAATTATTGCACAGACCCTAATTTCATGAGTTAGTTTGTTCCAGAGATTGACAGTTCTTGGAAAATAAGAGTTTACAGGATCGTGACCTTGAGTGCCGTATAGACCATATGAAAAAGGGTGTGGCTATCGTAGCGCCATATACCATGATTTGTACAATATATCATTACTACTCTTTGCAACAACACAACATATTATAACAGGTGTTTGAAATTTGAAACGTTTTTGAGTGAAAATCAGTATTGAGGGCTTACCAGCCCCGTTTTCTTGAATTTTAAGTAGACCTAACCCGGAAAAATTGCATTTTGTTCTAAAATTAGATAATTTTCTAGGGGTCTTGGCGAAAAAAATGACTCGATCTCATTCTATTCCTGATTTTTAGCAAATGTTTTAAGTTGGATTTTAAATGAACAGCCTCGGAAGAAGTATGGAGACGAGTGTGACGTCAACCCACACAATAACACAATACCTTCTCTGATATTTGGGGTGTTGTTACACAACATGTTATTCAAGATGGCGATCCAAGATGGCGGATCCTAAGATGGCGGATATTCTTCTCAAAATTGCTTGTTTTAAATTGTTTAACTCCAAAAACTTCTCGAATTGTAAAGTTTACCATAAAATACCGTTGTAGACTAAAAAAAGTGAGATTTGGAGTCAAATTATTCAAAGACGACAAAGACACTATAGGAAATGACGTCATCACAATTATGACGTTACACCTGTTACCATGGATACAAAACGAAACACAACATCACAGGAGAGCAGTAACGCCTAAATATGATATTTAAGTAGTTACTAGATATGTAGATATAATTTATAAAAATTACCTGATATCTATGACGTCATTGTGACGTCATATAGAATTGAATTAAAAGAAAAACAAAAATATTATTTTCAACTCATTTCAATAATAAACAGATGATATTGCAGCATTCTCTATGGCACTCTAGGCAATTTGTTAAGATGAATTATAAATCGTTAAAATTGTGTAAATGACGTCATTATGACGTCACATTTGATTCCAACGGTTCAAGACTAGGTATAATGATTTTTTTTACTTGTCCGACCGTTGTGTGAATATTTCATGATCATAAAGCTTTTGGTTCCGAAGATATTGAGGTACGCCGAATGAGCCACTCCCGCCTCAGGAGCGTTAATGCCTGGGTGAAAGCGACCACGCCCATGAAATATTTAACTGACGGCTGATTTGGGTGATTTCGACCTGCGGCATATCTTTCCTGACAGAATGAAAGTACTTAATGAAGTAAACAATTTGATTTGATTATGTTACCATGGAAACCAAATCTTAACCTTTGACCCCTTTTCTAAGATTTATTGTTTCAAAGCCTCGTGAGGCAAGGAAAATGAAAATGAACGCGGGAAAAGGCTGGTTGATCTGAAAGAGCTTTCCTTGGAGTACATTCATCTAATTAGATATGATGTAGTATTATTAATGTATTGGATTTATTGAAAGAGTATCAAATTACAAGTGACAAAAAACAGGGTTCCACTAGGATTGGACTTCATATCTAGTTGGTTGAGTAATACCTACTATGACACAAACAGCATTAGCTTAAAACATTTCAACATTGTCCTGTCTTTCCTCGCCTCGCGAGGCCTTTTTTAAAATTACATTTAACTCAGGGTTCAAAGGTCAGGTTTTAAGTTACCATGGTAATATGAATTGAGATTTGTAAAACTGAACATACTGATCAACCTTAAACATGTTTCAAAGCAGAACAATATAAAATGATTGATA